TTACCTGGTTTCGATGTCACTGACAGTTAGATAAGAAATTGTTTTGACATGATTCGTGACAAACACGAGACTTTAACAACCTGGAAACGATCTGTGTGACATCGGAGATCTGTTGCAGGTGGCACTGTGGTCAGTGCACTGGCCGTATGCCATGACAGCCGGAGTTCGATTCTCCGATCGGACTTGAAAAGGTATATTGGGCTCCCTGCCCGAAACGTCGACCGAACACCGACTTCGTCAGTGAGTGTAGACGTAAAAACCCTTCGGCCAACCAACCAACCAACCAATCTGCCCGACTACGTTGGTTTCATCCATGTATTCAAGCTTCCTCTCACATAGAATAGATCTAAAGACCCCGCACTGCGCGCTTACATCCGGGTCACACAAGGCAGATAAAGATCAGATGAAGATCTTTTTATGATTGCTTTAAAGTAAATAAATGTATTATCAGTATTGAATCACCTACCCGACCACGTGGGGTTTCTCCTAGTGCTCCCACATTAAGACCTGCCTACATCCGGGCTAACAAAACTAGTCAAAATAATTTTAAAAAATCATTGTTGTAAAACAAAGTTTACATGTATACATATTGACCATGCAGGGATGTTAAACTACAATTTATACTTTTAATTGTTGATTTTATTTAGACTTTATCATTCTCAATAATATTACTGAAAAGTGAATCTTCACTTTCACTTCTTGTAAGAAGTATCCCCTGGAAATACTGTGAAGAAATGAAATACCCTGCCAACAGAACCTGAACTCAAAGATCTTATTTGAAACAGTTATGGTGTTTTCCAGTCTCTTGCCACAGGGATCTGAGTGTTTTACGGCTAAATTTGGACGTAAACCAATGTTTTCATAGTAATTTTACATATTGTAGGGGTTAAGATCAACTTTCGGTAATAAAAAAGATCATCATTGTGGTGGCATTTTTACTCTGAATACCTTAGTCCATGTCCAACTGCATGTATAGCTGTAACAAATTATCAGGTCCCTGTGTCTCTTACCAAATATAATTAAGTTTTGTGAATTAATGAATACTACTAATATAAAAACACTGAAGAAACTTTGTACTTTTATCAGAATAATTAATAACAATATTTGTCCTCCTTGATACAAATGTGTATATATTATGAAACAGTACTGTGTACTACCGACTACGAACACTACAATTACTATATATTATATTGTAAATATGTTTCTCTATACATGGTATTGGGAAAGAGAATACAGTTGAACTAAATTGAATTGAACTTACGGGTGACGAAACGAAAATGTTTCATATCAAAGTTTTACTTTTTACAAAAACAACGTTTCAAGACCTATTGGTCCCTTTGTTAATGACAAAGGGACCAATTGGTCTTGAAGCGTTGTGACACGTTTAATACGTACATTGTTTTTGTAAAAAGTTAATTTTTGATATCACATATTTCCAAACTGATGAATCTTGTTGAAGAAAATGTTTCAGTTTCACAAGTTATTAACGACGTTATCTAGCGTATATGGCACCTCTCAGCGACAACGGCGAAACTAAGGGGTCCAAAGTTCATCACAAAATAAAATTAATTCTAATCAGATTCAGATTGTTTTATTCCTTGTGTAACACACATCGGAGAGAAGACATACAAATAGTACAGTATATTACAAATTTACAATGATACATGTATACAATAATATTCATTAATCGTGCAGTACTTCAAAATGACATATAATAAGAGACAGCATTTTACACTGCAATACACCAACATCGTAAGGTTCCGATACAGTGCAAGCATAACAATAGTATAACTTTCAATGACGTACGTTACAGGTAATGATAACTGGATTAATATAGTTACATACATTGTATCGCACATATGTCACGAATAAATACTCTCTAGTAGAACATTAAAAATAACAATAAAATACACTGCCATAGTGTAATAAATACGATGTTACACCTGACGTTAGTGACAGTGATATTAATAACATAAACAGCTGCCAAACTGACAAACCATAAATTATAAAAACACATGTCGACCTAAAGTTAATCATAGTTTAAAACAAACAACATGTGTTTGGTTACAATGTTTCGGCGTTCAAAGATTTATCGTTAAAGAGTACATTTACTTATTTTTATCAATCACGTGAAATGATAGACACAGAATGTATTAACGTAAGAAAATCGATTTGAGCAAACTCGGTTGCGGCACTAGCGAGTTATCATAAAAATGCGTACTTGGAAATAATTTACAACAATTTTACACGGGTGGAAAAAAAGTCGAAACAGCGTAATAATATCCCCGATTTTTTTTTTAAAGTTTTAGATTTTTAAAGCTTTACCAATGTTTCATTCTGAGTTTTTAACTTTCCCGTTAAAAATCACTAGATGCACCCTTTAATCATTGACAACTACGGAGTTTGATCTATTTGTCTTTCGAGTCTTTATTAGCACCTATATTTGGTCTACATCTCGATAAACCGAACAAAACATTACAAATAACCCTTGTAATCATATTTTTTTTTAAATTTTGAATATAAAAAGCAACTTTATATTGTAAATATTATTTTCAATATATTTCTAATAAATCATGTATTTGTTCATAATCCACTCCCTTAGTCTTAATTGAAGCGCTAATTATGTAGTTAAAATCCCCAAGATACAGATGATTGATTTGTCATTAAGATTTGTTTTTCTTTACTTATCTTTTTTATTATGTCTTTTTTCTTTTTATCTGTCTATCTATTTTGAAATTTTCTTTCCATATATAATTATCCCTGTTCGTATAAAATGGCATATAACTGTACCAAAGCGGTGAAACACCGAGCTGTCTTTCACATCCAACGTGAATTATAGGGGATCAAAGCTCACATTATACAATAACAGGAGTCCAAGTGTATTCTTCTCGAATAATAGCTGTCATGATCCTTTTGTTCTTTCGCAAGGCAGTGACACCGATCAAACTTTTACTAGGATACATGTATATATATATATGTATGTTTTTTACAACAATTATGAAAAAAAATATTGCAACTATTATCAATTACTCTTGTTGGCCAGGATGTTAGTGTACACCGGGGTGATGGTGGGGGAACTTAATGTGGGAGGAAACTGGAGTACCCGCAGAAAGCCCACGTGATCGGACAGATAAGTGACCCCATACCATTTCACGTCCGATCGGGGAATCGAAACCCGGCCGCCTTTGTGAAAGGCGAGTGTGCTGTCCAATGCGCCACCAGACCACCCAGGCAATAAATTCATAAACATTGAAATTGATAAGCACACTAACTATATAGTTGATCACTTAAGCATAACTTTATTGTATAAAATATAACAGGAAAAGCAGTCATAAGTTAAAGTACTTATGTAAGCAATCTACTTTTCAATGAATACCTATATTTGTCTACTACGTAAGTAAGCATATCCGCTTGAGTTAAAATAAAGTACGGGGAATACTATTCCGGATGTTCGAGAATGTGTATAATGAACTACACGAAAACTGGGGAATCCCTGCTCTTCCGCCTCTTGAATGAACACTGTCTAATAGAATTTTGACACCATTTACAAGGGAAGGGTATCCATTGATCCCAATGATTACATTCATGAAAAACACCCTCGCATGGTCGATCTTTGTGAGAATGAAGGTTTTAACGACGGAAATATGATGTCATTGGACGAGTGTTATGGCAGTCACGTGATGGGGACATCAACGTTGATAATAAGGGAAACCAGGACATTTTAGACGATCTCAATATAGGTTCTTTATCATATTTATCAGTTAAATTTCCCCAGTTTATGTATAGGTGTTGTGTATTTCGCAGTAAAATTTGACGTATTCTTAAAATATATTGATGTTATCATTTAAATGATGCATCGTGTTTTTTTACCTAAATGTACACGTGTTCGAAAGCTCGCAAAAGAATTTTTCAAATTCTGTTTTAGTTTTCAAAACGAACTTAGCCTTTTGATTATTCCGAATATAGCAATATTTCTTATTCAAATTTTGGAGAGAAAAAATCCTCATGCTCTGTTGTTTTCATTTTGGGAAATATGTTAGATATATCACGGACTTAGATAATCTAATTCCGTGGATATATATATACATTTCTAGAAAGTTCAAATTATAAATGGTACGTTTTCAGTGACCCATATGTTCGTACAAGCGTCACGGAAATAGATAGAATATGTTTCCGTGCCATCGCTGAATAGACGATGTAACTATATACAGAAAGAGACTATATATTGAGTTACTGACAATGACCTGGATAATTACGAATTTGCAATGTTTTACGTCTCAGAACTAAACCAGCTAGAGACGTATATATTATTGTATAACATACTGTACGTCTCTTATGAAACCAAACGTGTTTTCTACGTTCTTGTCAATAAATAAAATAGTATCAACTATCATGTTCTAATAAGCTATTAACATACATATCTTATTAAATCCTATTAAATTAAATGGAAGATTACAGGTTTTCCGTGTCTCTTTCTTTCGTTCTGGATATTCCCAAAAATACTAATAAATTATACAACATTGTGTACGATAAAGTCCGTGGTGCGAGGAAACCCCAACGATTTCTGACACTTTTTTGATTGGCCATGGAAAACGAGATAAATATGCGTCATTTTATTATATTTTTCGTTTGTGCTTTCAAGTTTTGTTGTCAAAACCCACGTGGGCATAACGGGTACACAAGAGGCTTAATTGGGGACGGGCACCTGCTCGATATAATAAAACTCGACTATTTCTGAATTTATTTGCGATCGTTAGTGCTTATCCTTACAAGGAAGAAGGAAACTTAATTAAATTATTGAATAACACGTTATATGGGTTTCATAACCATCCTGATATTAGAGAACATCGGTGAAGCCTTCAGGGTCCTTTTTCGTGAATGACATTCTTCGGGTATTCAATACGGAAGTGACGTAAACATTGCAAAGAAAAAATCCAAAACAAACAATGCGCATGAAAATAGTCCGTCCGTATTTAAAAACAAACATTTAGGGTAGCACGTCACACCGAATTGTGCTACGGAACGACATAGCTGTGTTATTATAAACGAGACAGTGATCGTAAAATAGTTATATATCATATCCAAAAGAATAACTTCGTTACTTACAAAGGCGGATGAATATTTCATGACTGAAGTAATGTAGTTCCGGAAGCCAGGAAAAAAGCCGTGTGGGGATTTAGTAGTGCTGTTATCCTTTGCCAGTTTATTTGGACCTCTATTTTAACTCATTTCGTTTGGCTTGGAGTATTGTTATCAGACAGAGAGTGTAAAGGAGTGTAATGGTTTGGAAGTTACTCTTTCTGACGGTGGCAGTGCTCATGTTGGGCAGCTGCACCGCCAATTTCAAGGTAAGTGCACATACTGGTCCTACAATGTCTTGATCGGGGGCACTGGAATACACAAACACAATGTTGTAGCTTACCCATGAATGACTGGTACCAAACGACTGTTCACTATAAGAACAAACAGTCACTGATATATTAAGTGGAATGAATGAATCCAATTTTACCTGTCCTGAATATATATATATATATATTGTTGTTTGTTTACGAAAATGATCAGAACATCTAGCTCTAGCTCTGGATGTAAACAGATCGTGTGTGTATTCCCCCTCGCCCGGTGGGTATCTAGGTCTGGAGGACTATTTATACAACCAGGTGAGGCGGAGACCTGGTTTTACGACTTTCTTTCAGGGCCACGATAAATCAAATCGGTGAGGAATAATGTTTATTGAGAGTTTTATATTGGCGAGAGTATATCCATGTCGGAATATTCAATACACATGTGTACGTGAATCGACGGGGTCAAAGAGGACCCATGATGATATGCATGTGTTCGGTGATTCATCACAAGATATTTCCATGGGAAGGACTGGATAGTATTTGTCACGAAGGAGTAGTGTCGTTTTAAAATAAATTGCTCACCCAATTATATTTAGGGTACATTGAATTGTACAGGTAGATAAAATGAAAAAGACCTTTTTTACTTCTCTTGAAAACATTGTTTGTGCGAGTGGTTTTACGTCCTCTTCAAATCACCACCAAGTAGTTTGGTTATTCAGCAGACTGACAAGAAATTATATATTAATCCATCTCATATTAATTGTCATATTTATGTCAATAATATTCATTTGTAAATGAAATAATGTTGTTTGAATGGTTGTTGTTTTTTCTTAAATTCTTAAATTTGTGCCATTTAACTGTAACAGCAAACAACATGCGTGTTCAATGTTTGTCCCTAATCTACTTGTGTTTCCAGATACCAAATATTTAATAGGCTATTATTAAATGAACATTGTGAATCTTTTATTGCCAGATTTGAACACTTCAAAAAATGTTTAGGCCTATATCAATTGTAAAATCTTATATCTTATTCAGTTAAACTGTATTTATAAACGTTTTTGGTTTTTTGTTCAGTTTTACTGCCGAAAACATGCTGTTACCCATAGGTGTTGATAGGATGTTAAACAATACCAAACCAAACCCTCCCTACAAAGTACCTTCTTTTCTCAAAATAACCAAAAACTGAAGAATACATTCCCAATTTCAATATAAACAATGCTTTATTTTCCCAATTCATGAAGGACCAGGCTGTTATAAAGTAAAATTTTAGGTAACAAAAACACTGACGGTTCATCAATATAATAAGGAAATGGGGACTTGGTACTGAATGGTACAATGACTGTTAAGTCATATTTAACAGGAAATAACCATATATATATACATGAATATTGTACTATACAGACTTATTGAATGGATATATGTATATAAGTGTGTGAAGTTATCGATAGATATTTTATCATTCATAAAATAGGGGCATTCAGTGTGCTCTGTATATATAAATATACATATTTTTTTCAATTCGCTTCAGATCTGTATGAATTTATTAGAGCAAATTTGTTAATGTTTCATTTTGTGGTTAAATGTACATTTAATTTTTTTCCTGAATTGTACATTTGTGTATTTCGTCAGCATCAACACAATATGATACACATGAACATTTTATCACACATGCCTACTGAATTGAATACATATATATATACAAGTTTAAGGAGTTATAGATGGTTATTAATCATTTAGTAAATACGAGTAACAAATGCAATCTGCTTCACATGACAAGGTCTCGCCATCTTGAGAGAGACAGCAATCTGCTTCACATGACAAGGTCTCGCCATCTTGAGAGAGACAATCATATTTTCAGTCTGATTATTGACATTTTGAATCTGCAGAACAATATTCCCAAATTATTTCTTATTTAATCAAATTCAATCACTATCTCCATTCTGCTAAGAAGAACATTAAAAAGTATGTCAATTTATGCTTGTTCTTTTGTTTAATACTAGCTAGGTCATATGAACTATCTTTTGTAAAAAAAATCCCTGCATTTACTCATTCACCCCTGAAGACACATTTAAACCCTTCCAATTCAAGGGTTGGAATAGTTCATTATGAATTACAGGGGTGAAAGAGATGATTTGTTTTTCCATAAAAAACCTGAATTGTGAGCAAACATGCAGCTGTCTCCTCTTTTTTTTTGTTAATTTGTTTATTGAAAGTGTCACTTCCGGTTAAAGTCATAAATTGACAGTTAGGCTAAAAATATGCTTCCCATTTTCTAATGAGTAGTATAAAAGTGTCACTATTCATTGAGTTATTTGTTTTGCAAGTTTTACTTACGTATGTAAATGTAAGCAAAACACAACACTTATTTTATTTGGTTTTCCTGTTTTGTTTATTGATAAAAATATGAACTTAGTTATGGCATATTGTAAATAAGGCACCATAGAGGACTGGCTTATCATCTTGCGGTGGTGTTGCTTATATTTATCTGACAACTTAAATTGATGAAATTAATCAGTTGGTCTTTGTATGTAACTATAAGTGTGCCGCTCCCATCAAATTAGTGTACAGTGACAAATTTTCTTCAAAGTTCCTGTTTTGAAATGATAAGTCATTGAACACATATATATATATATATGTTGTGTTATATGAAGAGTTACTGCGTTTTACTAGCCTAGGACTGTATTGATATTAATATCATACCCAATCTACTGCCTCAGAAGTATGGTAACTGTGAGTCCATGATATGTGAAGTGTCTATATAGCTACAAGTAAATAAGGTTGAGTTTGATATATAAAAATACCGTTCCGGAACACTGGAGAATCTGAAAGTCCCTATTGAGCTAACTTTAAATTGTTGTTTCCTCTTCACCAAACGAAGTACAGCAGGGTATATATCCCTTTCACCACTGTAGACTATTTTGGACACGTCCAGGTCAATGCATGGTATAGTCTATTAAAGTTACATAGGGGTGAAAGAGTTATTTACCATTTGGTGAATTTAAAACCTTAATTTCACCAATTACAACCTTAATCAGAGATGTATAATTTCATATTTATATGGTACAATACTAGTCCAGAGGCTGTGTTGGTTTTGAAAAATTCTAAAAGCCCAAACTGCATTTTCAAAGTATACATATACAATGTGCTTTGATAAACTTTAGGATTAAACATTTGAGGCGTTTAGGCCCAACACTTATGAAGGGAGGCTACGATCTTGCCTTCGTATCTGAAGCTAAGTTTGCATTTTGTGGAGACTTGTTAACCAATCTGAAACCAGTCCAAAGTTAAGTCTGTACTGCTTGAGTCAAATGTTACAATGAATTCCCAAAACAATCTGAAACAACAGTTGGAAAATGGTATCCTAAACCAAGATTAATCTTAATTGTGAGAATTGTGATAGAAGGTGATATTTTATCCAATTGCATTAATAATTATACGTCTTTAAAATACTTAATAACCTTTTCCAGAGTGTGCTTGATTAATTTACAAGGTATGTTAATTAATTATGGATAAATAATTAATTACTGCTGCAGCCCATGATGGGTGTATCCATATTAAGGTCTTGTATATATGGTCCTGTAATGTGATTTAGGTATATATACGTAGTGCCCTGTGGCTATATATAAAGCACAATGTGACACAGGTAGACATACCTGTTTGTTGTTGTGCCAAGTCCCTTACATGCTAGATTCTCTGATGTACAGTTGTTGACTGTCAGGAAGGTGAGGTCTTATTGAATTTAGGTGGTAACTAGAATTTGGCTTAAAGCCAGCATTGTTAGTTTGAATTTGGTGTTGAATACATGAAGATGCTATACAGGGATAGATCTGTTCTAAACCAAGCATTGTTAGTTTGAATTTAATGTGAAATGTATATAGAGACTACACAGGGATGGCTGCTCTAAAGTCAGCATTGTTAGTATGAATTTGGTGTGACATGTATATATATAATAACTACAGTGATAGCTGCTCTAACGCAAGCCTCGTTAGCTTGAATTTGGTGTGAAATGCACAGGAATAACTTCTCTAAAACAAGCATTGTTAGTTTGAATTTTGTATGGAATGCTGAGAAATCTTTTGGTGTGTTTCTGTTACTCTTTCACAAGTGGTGTTGAGATATATGTTGGCTTTAGGCCTTGTCAACTTTCCTGACAGTAACTTGGCCATATTGTTAGTTTGCTTTGCTCTCAGTAGGACAATCTTATCTTGGTTTAGCTATTTTTTACTCATCTGTTGATTTTGGTCGTGGTAACAGGGTGGTTTCAGTTGGTCATTAATTGTAAGGAAGTCATGTGTCCAGTGTCATGTTCATTAATGTGATGTTTTCCCATCCATGCTACATGTTATTTTCAGATATGTCCTGTACAAGTTTTCATATCTGTGGCCTGGTTACTGTAATTGAATATGTACTGTCGAAAATCGAATACAATATTTGTTTAATCACTTAAGTCAATCTACTGGACTTGTATATTAAAATTATCAAATAAGACAAACAATTAAAAAATTGGAATTGATAAGCTAGACAAATTGAGAAAAAGTTGGTTGTACAATGTATGTATTTGATTGGGAATGGATCTGTTTAACACTTAAAAATATAGGGGGTTAGAATTATAAATATAAATATAAAACTTTTTCAATTCAAACTAAAAAATATTAAAGCTCCTTTATTGGAAAAAAAGGTCAAAAATCAGACAAATATTTGTACAATGAAAATAATTTTAATTAGTGGACTTTAAATGAAACTGGGTAAAATAATAATTTAACAAAATGTCAGGATGCCAGATTGAAATATAACCTGGTGTGTGATGAGGCGAGGAATCTGGAATACACCTGGTGTGTGATATGAGGCGAGGACTCCTTCATGCTGTGACATACAAGGTGACTGGCACACAGTGGATTAATACCAAGTGCAATACACAGGGTCAGTGACACCAACACCTGAGTAGGTTTTGACATTTCTAGACTATACCCACAAGGCCATACATGTACACCACTCCCAGTACTAGC